CGCCTGTAGTGAAAGCATATCAATTACGGTTTGTAGAACAAAATATGACGTTAGGTCGCGATAAATACCTGCAGCTCGCTCATTTCCAGCTCCCCTACGACAACACACCCACCGGTGAATGCAGTGCGCTTGTTTAGGGAAGTGTTGCTGCGCGAACCGCGGGGAACTCACATTCGAACTCTCTTGCGAGCGCTACAACTACCGCGAGGCTTTGTTTCTTCAGAGAGGGCATAGATAGAAAGAGAGATGCGGAGAAAGGTAAAAATGGCCCGGGTTACGCAAGTCTTTACAAGTCAATTGGCGCAAGTCCAAGTGAAAGTCAGAGTCATTGATGTTAAAGTCCAAGTCGAGTTGCAAGTCTTTTTATATTTGGTCAAGTCGAGTCTAAAGTCATCAAAATCATGACTCGAGTCTGACTCGAGTCCAAGTCACATGACTCGAGTCCACACCTCTGATTGGCAGCGTGCCCTAAAGCGTCTTTGAAGAGCTTCCAGCTCGTTCAGAATACAGCAGCTAGGATCTTAACAGGTACCAAAAGGAGGGAGCACATAACTCCGGTGTTAAAATCACTCCACTGGCTCCCTGTGGAGTACAGAATAAAGTTTAAAATCCTTCTCTTAACATATAAAGCCATAAATGGCTTGGCTCCTTCTTATCTCCAAGACACGTTAGTGTCGTATCAACCAAGTCGAGCGTTGCGCTCACAAAACGCCAGACGTCTGGTAGTCCCTAAGGTTTCAAAAATCACTGTTGGTGGCAGAGCATTTAGCTACCAAGCTCCTTTACTGTGGAATCAGCTTCCCATTTATGTTAAGGAAGCAGATACGGTCTCCACATTCAAGGCCAGGCTTAAAGCACTTTACTTTAATTTAGCATATAATTAGGTAATATATAATATATGGTGTATATGTTATATATGTACATGTATGCTGTATTATGTTATAAATTATGTTATATATTATACAATAATGTATTGTGTTATGTTGTATATTATGTTATATATTATGCTGTATGTTATGTTGTGTATTATTTATGATATATATGGTATGTATGGTATATATGATGTATATGATATATAATATATAATTAGGTTTGCTTGGATCGGTTTGCACACCTGGTGTGCAATCCATGAATCTCTTTATTCAAGGCTAGGTTTAAAACAGTCCTCTTTAGTTTAGCATATGGCTAGGAAGGTAAGACTCAGGGAAGGCTAAACTCCTCAGACTGTCAGTCAAGCTGCATAGGGAGTCAGTTTGCTGGGAGAAGTACTGTATGGTAACTTGAGCACTATCCTCTCCTCCTTCCTACTTTATCTACTTTATCTGTTTAGCACTTTTAGGATTCTGACTGTAGTTTGTTCATTGCTATTCACCCGTTGTCCCATTGTCTGTTTCATGGTACGATGACGGGATCTCTGAGCCTGGCCTCCTCAATCTGCACCTGCGGACTGCCCCGCCCGACCCGCCTGGGAGTGCTTCAGTCCTGCACCGGACCTGTCCACGTTCAGCGGCCACTGGTCCACGTCCTGTAGCTAGCTTAGGTCCTAGATCATTAGCCTGTCCGTCCGGAGGAGCGGATCCCTTTCTCATATGGGTCTCCCTCCCTGTGGGTTTCCCTAGTGCTCCCCAAGGTTTCTCACTTTTTCCCACTGGGTTTTTTAAGAGTTTTTCCTTGTCGATGCAGGAGGGTCTCGTTGGACAGTTAGTGTCCAACAGAAAGGATTGGTGATGATCAGGACACTTTAGCATTCTACAACATGTATGGACATTTTCTTCTGTGTGTGCTTTATATTCTTCATGTGTTTTAACTGTTGATTCTCTGACCTGTGTTGGTGATTTCAATGGTTTTGTTAAGTCCTCTGAGATGACTTCTGTTGTGACCTAGGGCTATACAAGAATAAATTGTATTGTATTGTATTGTATTGTTTGCAATCTTATCTTATCTTATGACTATCTGTGTTTGTGAGATAGACAGAAGACATAAAACAGTTATATACTGTATACAATGTACTTTTTTTAAAAACAGAAACCAAGCTGCGTTGCTATGGAAACTTCATCACAATTCTCGACACAATTTTCTCAAACCAAACTGCAGTGACTGACGCTGAATAATGTCCCAACTCCTGCGTCCATCTGTGGTACAAGGCCAGTGCAGAGACGCTGCTTTCAAACCAACCACAGCACTTAGTCGGCTTAATATTATCATTAAAACATTGACGAATATTGTCAATATCCTGAAATTATTGTTGATACTAAGGACAACAATGACAATATGCAATTTTCTAAGCAAAACAATCTGATTCTATTATTACATTTTTGTGAGGTTTTAAAATTAGCTTTTTATATTTATACTAGTTCTGATGTGGAGTTTGTGGACAAATGAGGACATAATAGTTAACTAATTTTGGTTTACTTCAAGTACACCCAATTTGGTTCAGGCTCAGGTTAACATCACATGATGATCAATGGTACGTATTTGAATATGGATCTTAATTTATCTCTTTAACAAGATATGTGTAACTGTCTGATTTGTCCCAATCCCTTATCAAACTATGTATAACTTTGTATTTAGTATCCTGTTTATTTAGTTATTATTTATGTTGTTTCTTTTTGATGGAGTTTGACATAAATATAGACATAAATAATAAAAAATGTGTCCAGGTACTGTATACACAACTCTTTTCGAAATAGTTTCTGTGGCAAAAGGACAGGAAGGTTCTTTTCAGTTTGTGAACTGACACAGTCACTAATCCATCCCCAGTAATAGTCTCAATTTGATCAATATAAGTAATTTGAAAGAGTTGGTCTGAGTTTTCTCTTTCATTAGCTCTTCAGCAAAATCAATGGGACGATTGTCTCTGGTTTCTGAGACAAATACCTCACCTCCATTTCAACCTCATTTTGCTGTTTACTTTCAGCAGTTCAATTGATAAAAGTAGATGCAGAATGTTCTCAAATGTTTTGTTTTTGTTTTTTTGTAGATCACGAGCACCGGAGTACAAAAATAACCAACTCTACAACATAGCATTTGTATAATATGACAGTGACTCCAAAATATTGAATCGTTAAAGCATTTTCTTGTTGTTGAAATGAGAAATAAAACATTTTATGTTTCAGTTGTATTAGTTTTATGAATTCCCAGGGAAGTTTGTAGATCTTCCAAGATATACGTTTAAATGTAATCAGGTGCCACCAGTGGGGGCGGGTCCCGGCTCAAAAGTGGCCAAAATGACGTGCACTGACATGCTGCAATACCACCCCGGGCCGATGGAGGTGGACCCGGAATGAGAATTATTCAATGCACATATAGCATTAGCTGACCTCTCGAAAACGTCTTTATAGGATGGTCCAAAAGTTGGCTCTTGGCCCAAAGCTCCGCTCCACATGTGTGTCAATGCTGAGGGGAGTGAATTTTTTTGGACCCATCTAGTTTACTCGCTGTGAATTTTTGAAGTCACTTGTTTAAATGAATGGAGCTCGTGCCGGCTGACGCATGCGCAGATGCGTTTTTTCACATTTTCCAGCCCCCGCGGCCATTTTTAATCACTCCATGAGAACCCAATTTTTGGCCCATTAGTTAGAACGGCGGAGATAGGCGTGACTACATGCGTTAATATTTACAGTCTATGGGTGCCACTAGGCCAAGATTTCCACTGTATTAGGCAAAAAATTATATCAGCAATCGAAACCACTATGTAAGTGTAATGTTAGGGTATTATGAGATTTCATAACACTTTGAAGCAACTTTTGTTAAAGTTAAACTCATCATTCTATCAATGTGCAGAAGCCAGTACTTTTCCCTTGTTTTGTCTATCTGAAGGCCAAGCTACAAGCACACCGTGGAAGCTGCTGATTGGAGGTCTCCATGCCTCTGCTCTGTATAATAAACTTGCATTCTATTGTATCTGGGATCGTGTGTTTTGTTCGTGCTGTCTTCTGTCTGAATTTAAGACGCGATCCCAGACTATGTCATCTTCTTCAGGTGGTGGAAGGATGCAGGCCTTGTCTGTAACATCTAGAGAACAGAAGACTTTTTTTTTTACACAAAAAGTGTTTTTTTTTTAAAGCCAAAACTGAAAAACCTCAAGAGAATGCATCTGGATCAGCACATGGACAATCTGCACAGCCCCTGATTCCACTCAGGCTGTGAGCTGCTGAGACTTGGACAAGACCATCGTCCTCTTTTGCATGGACATCATTTGGAACAATTGGATTTCTGAATTTGGACATAATTTGGACTGAATTGAATTTCTGAATCTGGACACTAAAGCTGAAACGTGTGATTGAAAGACACGTCACAGAAGAATTCATGGCTCGACACAAATGCAGCCTGAAGAAACCAACACGGAGAAGTGGGAGACTGTTTTCAAAGCAATATCTGGAACCACCATCGACTGATGAAGTTTGGTATTTTACTGAAGATTGTTGACAAGTTTTATGAAAGATCTGAACATGTTTTATGAGTTTTCTGAGTTTTTGAAGTATTCTGAGTTCTGAGTTTTTAAGTACCGAGTGAAGTACCAAGTTTAAGTATTGAGTTATGATGTTATGTTGCTGTTTATCGATCCTGATGGTCACACGTGAATGTATGACCAGAAGGGGGAATATGAGATTTCATAACACTTTGAAGCAACTTTTGTTAAAGTTAAACTCATCATTCTATCAATGTGCAGAAGCCAGTACTTTTCCCTTGTTTTGTCTATCTGAAGGCCAAGCTACAAGCACACCGTGGAAGCTGCTGATTGGAGGTCTCCATGCCTCTGCTCTGTATAATACACTTGCATTCTATTGTATCTGTGATCGTGTGCTTTGTTTGTGCTGTCTCTACCATCGACAATAAAACATGTCTTCTGTCTGAATGAAAGACGCGATCCCAGACTTTGTCATCTTCTTCAGTATAACCAGGGAAAAGTTACATAATGCACCAGTTGCCTATACTGTAGCTGAAAAACATTTATTTCCACATTGACTGGACACTGATTTGTGATTGGTTGCACTTACAGAGCTGGGGCTGGAGTGGCGCCGCAGTTTGGGTGACTCTTTCCCAGTGGAGGACGTCTTGGCGTTGATGCAGGCATTGTTCTCAGAGTGGACTCGCTTCACTTGACTGGTCGGCTTCTCGAACGGGTCGAAGCCGCTCTGGGTCCTCTGCACGCGCACCTTCTTGTCCTCAGGGATGGTGTCCAGGGGCTTGATGACCGAGTCAGATCCCTGGACGCTGCGTGTGGACATCTTTGTGACACATATCTGAAGAGAAGGAGAGAAACACAAGAGCTGAAGTGAAATGAACAAATTTTAAGCAATCATTGTTGCTGCACTGTTGCAGAATTGTATGGAATTTGTTTCCCTGGAAATAGCCATGATACTGTGTGCACTAGCATTACCACCTGCACAAGAGCATGGAAACCCTGGCAAAAATGTTTGCATGAATTAGGGGACCAATCAAATGACAGGAAGGCACAGCAAGAGGATGATGACGCACTATTTGACAGACGGAAATTAGTTTGTTTACAGATCCAACATGACAGCAGCAGATGCAAAGCTATATTCCCTCATGTTTAACTTGCACAAACAGCAGTAATCCTTCAGCATCATTTCGTGAAAATCTTTCATATTTCTGGCCAATTGTAAACCAGACCTCTCCTTCAAATAACGAGTCAACCAGTGAGTCCACGTTAGTACAGTATATATAGAATAGTATCATATTTTTGCTTGAACTCTGTTTGAGTCTGATACTGTAAAGTAAGATTATAAAATTAGACAGCTAAATATATTCTCATGCCGACTTGTCAACCATGTTCCTAGAAATTTGAGCAATCTCCAAACCCCAATTTTAACGATTAAAAGAGATAGATGAAAGTAGTTAAAGCACTGTCCATATGTGATTGTGCCGTAGTGCCAAAATCTGAATCCCTGTTAGTCCGGTCCAGACAGTTTCCTTCTGGATGCCTGGGGATCGTCCTTTCTGCTGTGCGGCTGGTCCCTCTTTGAACAGACGAGAGCAGGATTTTATCGCCTCTGTCTTCTCAGATCTAAACGCTCTTGTCTGAGACGTCTGCGCACACGCTGTTACCTTACAGCACCTTATCTGCCACAGACATCTACTACTGCTGCAGCGAGGACTGATAATCACACCAAAGAGACTAAGCAGGCACACATTTGTTTTAATCCAAATCCAGCAATTACAGTTGAAGATAAGCAGCGTAACAGTCTGATGAATCAGCAACAAAACCAAGCATGGATGAGCATTAGTATACTAACGACCTCATTTGTTGAGACTCAAGTTCTTTTCCCTTTTTCCCCTAACATTCAGGTCTGTAGACCAACTAAATATCGACACCTTAAAATAATCACCTACAGTATTTGTTATGTTTTTCACAAAACAATTACACTCAGTGTTATCTTCACCAAAGTTACTGTAAAAAAATACATTCTCACTGCTGCTGTATACACTGATGATGACATCAAACTCCAAGTCCATAATCAAACATTTGAATGTATATCTTTTCTTCTTGTGTTGTACCAGCTTGGAATAAACTAAACTAATTTTATCATTTGAGAAACATACTTTTCTAACATACTCTTGCGTTGTATATGAAGCCTGACAGCATCGAGTACTCGGATATAACAAAGCCAAGCAGGTTCAACCAGAACACAGATGGAAAAAACGGTATTTCCTCCACAAACTAAAGCCCACACTCGCCTTACCAGCTCCAGCGTGCGGGGGACACAAAAGGCGCAGGTGGTGTGACATGTTTTGCCACGACTGCACACAGATTAAATATTTAAGGCTGGACTCCCCTGCAGGAAGAACTTCTAATTACTCTCACACGGCAGCAGGAGTCGGCTTGCAGCTCACAGGCCTCTGCTGAAGCCAGTGTGGGCCGGGTTTCACCGCATACGCAACAAGTCCACTCAACCATAAACAGCCACAACAAACATGCGATTGTGCAAAAGTGGAGGAAGTATAACAAAATATAAGAATATCTACTAGTTCCGAAAATAGGGGGAAATAACAAATGATATAGCTTTCAATGTGTCTTTTCAGCTTTTAAATATATGTTTAGTTCCTTTACCCCTGACTTGACTATAATTCTAAATAACATTTTTAAGCCAGGTAAGTTTCATAGTGATTACTCCTTTCCTTTGTAGAAGTCCTGGTTAACACACAGTAGCACAGATCAGAGGCATCATTGTGTGGTGGGTATAGTTCAGTTCTGAGGGTTGGCAGTTTCAATTCGGTTCCCAACATTAACATCATGGAGTGGTCAGGTCGACTGATCGGCCGGATGGCAAGTGTGATGTGTGTTGCCAGTGGTGTTGGCAAACTCCGAGTTGCAGGGTAAGGTGTTGACAAATACGCAGAAATCCAAACCGGGTAGCTTTGGTTAACCTGTTGCATGAAGCCTTCTGTCAACTCTCTCAACCCAGCGCTAACCCAGGTTCAAACCATTGCTCCCTATAGCACTGCTCTGCACGCACACGCACGCACACACACACACACGCACAATCTGAACAATAGAATAACAATGGTGTAAGAATATATTGCAAAGTAAACCAATGTTGCAGAAAGTTGGCAGAAGATCACTGGTTGTGTGAATGTGTAAGTTGTATTGTTGTTATATACGTACTCGTCTTCGAACCTAACAGATTCGGCACACATTATTGGCCCACTCTGACTTCTCTTACTCTGAACCTGAAGTTACCCTGCTATGGAGCAGGATCGCCGTATGGAAGATTTTACTGCGATCCCACAACCCATTCTGAACCTAATCTCTATTCAGAAAAGAAAACTCAGAGTAAACTCAAAGTAAACCTGAAGTTATCCCAAAACCATTCCTGCTTCTAGCAACAGGCATCCAGTAACCTCAATACTGTTATTGTTGTGAACTTATAAGTGTTTGTTCATAATTCTGACACAAGATTATAGGCCATGCATTTGACCTTTGCTAATGATCCTGAAACAACCAGGAACCTTAAGCAATAATTTTCAATATTTTAATCAACTAACTTTAATTACTTACATGTTCAATGTAAAACATAATTATGATACTGGTGAATGGTCTTTTGTGTCATTATGCAAGATTTTTTTAAAATGGAAATAATCTCAATTTTGTTCCCCATGTTGAAGCAGTAACACAAAGAATACAATAAGGTTTTTGTCTTTCACAATTGTTGTCAGGAAAAATGTTTAGACATTTTGATTCAGACACAATATTGAATCAAAATTATCAACGGATTTAATCAAAACACCATTTAGCCTCTGCGGGACATGATACAATGCAGTGCTAAACTCCAGACAGTGTTTCCAACCTCTTGTCTGATGGGCGCATTGACTAACCACACTTTAAAAATTCACCAATGACAATAGAGTGGGTCATATTCAGTTTCAGACTTGACATAAACACTTTCCTTCAAGAGCTGGCATCAAAAAACAGCCTCAAGCTAAAATGTGAAAGGTTTTGAGTCACAGGTTCTAGAAAAATACATAAAATACAATGTCATTATTGTGCCATACACTTCTTCTTAACTCAGTGGTTCCCAAAGTTGGAGGCGCAATTGCAGGGGGGCGAGGGACGGATGAATGAACGGAAATACAGTAGGCTAAATGGCACTGCTAGCATAAGATGGACACATTTTTGAAACATTACAATATGGAGTAGCGGCGACAGTAGCTCAGTTGGTAGATGGATGGATGGATGGACGATCCGCAGTAAGTTAATTACAATGTGTGATATAAACTGCAATGGACACTGAATTTTTTTTTAATGCATGTCCTTTTTTGGGGGGGGTGCGCAAAAATATCTTATGTACCAAAGGGAGGCGCAGCAAATCACTGTTATTAAATAAATGGCCAAACATGCGGTACAATAACAGAATAAAAAGAATAACTTAAGTCCAGCTGCTTTCCTTGAAGGTTATAAGGAGATTTTTCCTAAATTTTAGGAAAGAATCCTCTCCACTTTTTGAGCAAAACTCTCTCGTCTTATTGACAATTGGGAGGACCAATAGTCTTGATGATCCACCCGCGAGTAGAAAATCCTCCTATTTACCTTTAACTGTTCCAGTTTGGTGGCATCACATAAGTTAACTTAAAGACTTCTTCATGGGAAGGATCTTATTGTGGTCTTCCGGATGGTTTTAATTGTTGGTTGTGACTGTTTCAACGTACCGAGTATAAATACCAAACTAGGAACAAACTTTGAGAATTGGCTAAAATGTTGTGTGTGCTAATGACACATGTCTAAAATAAAAATATATTTGATAGATATTTTCATTCTTATATCAACATGCTATAGTTTTACATATAGCTGACAAGTTAGATCGCAAAAACAAAAAATATTCAAATTTGAATTATAGCTAAAATGTTAACGGGTTATCACACAGTTTTAATGGCCTGCATCGTTGGAAGTCACATGAAACTGACCGGCTTCGTAAACAATCTATCCTAATGGTCTTGACGGACAGAGGGTCTAAAGTTTCCGAGAAAGTGCAAACGTATCCTTTAAGAGTGTGTTAAAAGATCAGCGGCCTGTCTGTCAGCGCCGCGTTCATCCCTCTTATTTCTGAAGGGGCAGTTTTGAAGATGAGCGATGGCCTCTATTGTTGTTTTCTGTATAGTGTGTCCACCCTCATGCACAGCTTTTGTGTTCGCCATTGTGTGAAAGCAACACGATCGCCCGAGCTTTTCAAAATACGGGCGCTACTCTGTGACATGAGTTTGCACATGAGCTTATTCCGCTCATTATTAAAACATTTTGTGAAACCTTGATATGATTTGATCTCAGCTGCATCTCAGACAATAAACAGGGCTATTCAAAATCACAATGAGGAAAAACAGATCAAAACCATAAAATACACCAAAAGTCAAAAACGGTCAGATTATAGAACTTGCACTAAACTGGTTGGAGTTGGACCAAAATGTGCCATTGCCTACTGTTTCCTGAATATTTCTTCTCAATCTTTCCCTAAAATGGTATCACACAAACTAACACGGATACTCACAATTCATTGCTTTTTCAACATGTAGCTGTGGAGAAGATGTGTAAACTTTAAACACTTTACATGCAAAACTTGACCAGGCTAAACATTTGCACGGTACTATTCAAAATACTAAGACAAAAAAACAGAACTAAACTACAAAATAAACCAAACGTCTAAAAAGGTCAGATTATAGAACTTGGACTACACCGGTTGGAGTTGGACCAAATTGTAATGTAATGTGGAGTCAGACCCAAACAAACACA